TGCCTGCCTGCCTGCCTGCCTGCCTGCCTGCCTGCCTGCCTGCCTGCCTGCCTGCCTGCCTGCCTGCCTGCCTGCCTGCCTGGCTGCCTGCCCCTGCCTGCCTGCCTGCCGCCTGCTGCCTGCCTGCCTGCCTGCCTGCCTGCCTGCCTGCCTGCCTGCCTGCCTGCCCTGCTGCTGCCTGCCTGCCTGCCTGCCTGCCTGCTCTGCCTGCGCTGCCTGCCTGCCTGCCGCCTGCCTGCCTGCCTGCCTGCCTGCCTGCCTGCCCTGCCTGCCTGCCTACCTGCCTGCCTGCCTGCCTGCCTGCCCTGCCGCCGCCCCGCCTGCTTCGGCCGGGCCTTTCCGCTTCCCCCCCTTCGCGGTGACCCGCGGCTGCGACAAAAGGCCCGGCTTTAATATACGGGAAATTACTGTCTACGGACTTACAGTGGAGTGGCATATGCGCATTGCGCACGGACACGGGCCTCGCGAATGTCCATTTCGGGAGATTCAGGACAAGCTTGCTTCTTCATAGTCGTCAAAGTGGCCCGCAGTGGTCGAAATAGTAATTAAGTTAGTTATTCAGCTCCACCCTCGACCCCCCCTCTCCCCACTTATACATAAACATAAATTTTTAAATTTTTAAATTTGCGCATAAAATAAAAGGGCGGTAAAATTATCACTTTCGAGGGCGGTAATAAAAATGGATTCCGCTCATAGATGGTAGTAATTTTTGTACCACCTTCCGATTTTGGGTGCGTAAAGCAAATCCAAAGTTTATACAAATTGTGGGCATTTAGAGAAGGATTTATTTTGAAACTGCCGGTGGGTGTGTCTCTCTTTCTCAGGTTCTCGGGTTCTGCGCGTCCCCTCATTTGACTCGACAAAGAGTTCGCAAGATTTGAGACTCGGGCGGCGGCGTCTCGAGCCACTTAGCCCCTGCAGGGTGAATCTTTCCTCCCTCTCTCTCGCACCCTTACGGGACGCCCCCGTGAGTGCGAGCGAGAGAGAGGGAGAGAGAGACTTCCCACTCGGCATCAGTCTGCTGGGGGCGGGGCACAATGCGAATGCGAGCTGCATGCAGAGTCCGGGCTAGCAGCAGACTGATTCCGAGAGTCGTTTTCGTCGCTCTGTCTCTCTCGCACCTATACGGCGCGCCCCATGAGTGCGAGAGAGACAGAGCGGTGAAAACGACTCTCGGAATGAGTCTGCTGGCTGAAGCGGAGGGCGTAATGGGCTTATGGGAGGGCAGGCCAGGGCAGGCCGGCGGGCCGTCTCGGGGGCGCTGCCTCCACTGCCTCTGCGCTGCCGCCATGTTTAAAGATGCATAGCCTCTTTTGGGATTTTGCCGGTGGTCTGCTGCCTACCCACTGAGACCAGCAAGGCCAGCAAGGCCAGCCCCGCGTCGCCATCACTCGGCCATCGCGGTACTTCGAGTACCACTCTCACTGGTAGCATTTTTGCAGTGGACTATGTCCGCTCCTTCCAGTGCTGTCACACACCGTCACGGACTTGCCAGTGGTTCGGACAGAGAGTCTCGCTGCCACGGCAGTGACTCACCGGTACGTGACGTTGGGGTGCGGAGGGCAGACCGTAGACTGGTTCCGAGAGAGGTCTCTCTCACACTCGTGGGGCGCTCAGTGGGCCAGAAGTCGGACGGGTCTTGAGCTCAGTCGCTGAATGGGACTCGAAGCGAACGTGTGACCCCACCAATCGATTGCTCCCCGAACGAGGAATCCATTGGTGGGGTCACACGTTCGTCGGTCCAGTTTAGCGACTCTGACTCAAAACGCGTCTGGAGTTTGCCGCCTCCACCGGTCTTCTGGCCCACTGTGCGCTGCCCTGCACGGCGATTCCGCAGTGCTTCGTCGTTCTGTCCCTGTCGCACCCATACGGGACGCCCCCTGAGTGCGAGAGAGACAGCGACGAAAACGACTCTCGGCATCCGTCTGCAGCGAGCAGCGACCCGGTCCGAGTGTGAGAATAGGGTCGGTGTAAAGAGTGTAAGGGAGCCGTGGCAGCCGGGACTACGGTACCTCGCCTCACTGCCTTGTTGTAATTTTCATGGAACAGGGTCAAGATCGAAGGACCCAAGGGCCGGCCACGCCTGTGCTGTGGGTTCCCTCGGGACCGGACCGGGAAGCGACCGGGAACCGGAGTTTTGAATCAACTCACTCGTCGGTCTCCGCCAACTAGACATGTGCGCCGCGCCGCCGCTGCGCCGCCGCCGACAAATTTTACCACGCCGCCGCCGCTGACCAAGAATTGGTGGTTCGCGCCGTCCGCTGCCACCGCCATGACTCACCGGCGTGACGGGTGCGGGGCGACCTAGACTGACCAAAAGATCTTGCATCGTCCAGTGCAGCAGTCGAGTCTGAGCTCAGTCGTGAATAGGCTGAAGCGACGTGGCACCGGATATCTCCGCCGACGAGGGAGCCAAATCTTATTGGACGGCGTTTTATGCTTAAGTCGTTTGTCCTGTAACGAAACTGGACGCCCCCTAAGAGAGACTAGTCGACAAATTGTGTCATCCGTTTCATCGGCGCATGTTTTCGATTGAGAATAGACGCGTAAAGTTAAGGTCACCGTCGGCGCCCGGCTACGGTACCTCGCCTCACTGCCTGTTGTAATTTCATGGAACAGGTCAAGATCGAAGGACCCAGGGCCGGCCACGCCTGTGCTGTGGGTTCCCTCGGACCGACCGGAAGCGACCGCGAACCGGAGTTTGAATCAACTCACTGGGTCGGTCTCCGCCAACGCACCGGCCACTTTATGGCTACTCGATATCGTCATTACCCTGCTGTCTGTCCGTCCGTCCGTCCGTCCGTCTGTCGTCTGTCTGTCTGTCTGTCTGTCTGTCTGTCTGTCTGTCTGTCTGTCTGTCTGTCTGTCTGTCTGCCTGTCTGCCTGCCTGTCTGTCTGCCTGTTTGTCTGTGTGCCTGCCTGTCTGTCTGTCTGTCTGTCTGTCTGTCTTTCTGTCTGTCTGCCTGTCTGTCCGTCCGTCTGTCCGTCCGTCTGCCCGTGTGACGGTCTGTCCGTCTGTCCGCGTCTGGAGCGAGGTCTGGAGGACGAGGGCGGCGGGGACCTCGGTGAGGACGCGCAGAATGAAGCAGCAGGCTGATTCCGAGTCTGTCGCGCCCTGTCTCTCTCGCACTCACGGGGCGTCCCGCAGGGGTGCGAGAGAGACAGACGGCACTGCTCGGAGTCGGCCCGCAGGGCCACTTTACGCAGCCCCGTTTACGAGAGCAGTATGCAAAGCTGTAGCCGGGGATAACCTTGATCTAGGGGGACTGGGTGAGTGCCCGCCCCCCTGCCGCCCCCCGTGGGGCCGTGCAGAGCCGCACTCGCCCTGTCGAGGCCGCCCAATACTCAATGCCAGCACTCGAAGCGCTGGAAGCACGACCTAGAAACAGGAAGACAAGGCCAGGCGCCAAAACTTTGAGTGACAACTTGTAGTAAAATTGAGAACCACCTTATTATACTCCCCATTCATGGCGGCGCTGGCCGTGAGCGTTATTGCTGTATCGCCACATTTTCCCCGCGGTGAGGCAGTGAGGCGGCGCGCACAGCCGGACACATTTTTCTCGGGATGGCGATTGCGGTTCGAGAGCGCGATGCCGATGTGAACGTGAATGTGCGGCTAGGGTGCGGGCGGTTGCAACGACTCGGCATTCATGGCAACTACACTACAAGATACTGCAGTGCGTGCTTTAGTACACACCTACATATAGGAGCGTATTTGACGTCACACATCTATAAAAGACACCCAAAACTCTAGACGCGTTTTGAGCTCCAGAGTCGCCAAACAGGACTCAAACCGAGCATGTGACCCCACCAATGGATTCCTCGTCCTAAGAGCAATCCATTGGTGGGGTCACACGTTTGGCTCGAGCCCCACTTAGCGACTCTGGCGCTCAAAACGCGTGCAGAATTTTGGCCGCCCTCACCGGTCTTCTGGCCCACTGTGCGCCTGGTTCAACTCGTCGATGAAGGTGAATTGTCGCTGGTTGGTCTGCGCCCTCCGTCTGCATCCACACGAATCCACCTGAATCCAACCGGAGGGGCCGAGCGCATCGCTAATCCCACTTAATTGTTGTTTGCCCCCCCCCCCCTTCCGGGTCCTCGGCACGGGTTGACCGGTTGACTACACTTGGGACGGTGGCTCTGATGCTGACGCGCAGCGGTCGAACTCCGGCAAAAGACTCACCTGGAGGGGCTGCTGGAGACGTGGACGGGGCCACCCTCTCCTCCCCTGCCCCGCCCCTGCCCCCCGCGGGGCCCCGGTCCGGCTTCGACTGTCCAAAGTGCCCTCCGTGGGGTCTCTATAGAACTACCCCCAGCCCTACGATGACCTAATCGTCTTTCCCCGCCCCACCCCGCCACTTTCTCCACAGCCCAGTTTAGACACTGGCTCGGCCAAGTGAGGCCCCAGGCCTCAGAGGACTTTGCAGTTCGCTTTGCTCACGGGCTCGCCCAGGCAGAACGGCCCAGTAGAGATCAGGGGGCGGGGCGGCCGAGGCCGAGCGGGGCTGGGCCTGGGCCTCCAGCCTGGCCGGGCGTGGGCCAGAAGACCGAAGGAAGCGGTTAAAACTCTAGATGCGTTTTGAGCTCCTAAGTCGCTAAACAGGACTCGAACCGAACGTGTGACCCCACCAATGGCCTCCTCGTTGGGAGAGCAATCCATTGGTGGGGTCACACGTTCGGTTCGAGTCCTGTTTAGCGACTCTGGAGCTCAAAACGCGTCTAGAGTTTTGGCCGCCTCCACCGGTCTTCTGGCCCACTGTGCCGTGGAAGGGTGGCGGGGCTCCGTGGCTCCGACTACTTTTCAAGTGACGCTGACGCCGATTATTTTTCAAGTCACACCGAGTGTCTTTCAATGCGCGCTGACTCGCGAAACATGGCGTACCTGGGGGGCAACCTGCTGCACCGACTCCGGGACGGTAGGCAAGGCATCCCATCGGACAGGCGGCGCGCGCTGGAAGACGGTGACCAGGTGGCGGGACTAACAGTCAAATCACACCAGCTAACTTTTTAAGAAACTAGAAATATATTTTCGTAAAAAATGGATCATCATCAGCTCTAGTCGGCCCCGGGGAACACCTGCTCGCCGATGACAACCCCCCAGTTGGAGGCGGCCTGCTTGTCGAGCGGCAGGCCGTCGTCCTGCGCCTTGCCGAACTTGGAGCCGAAGCGGACGTGGCGGTTCATGAGCAGCGCGTGCCACAGCTCGGCGTCCTCGCCGTTGGCCGCGGCGTCCGGGCGCTCCTGGCCCGCCAGCGCGGCCGCGGCCTCGGACGCGATGTCCACCTCGGAGGCGACGCGGTGGCTGCCGTAGTGGAACGGGAAGTCCTCGAAGTGCCACGCGGGTGGGCGGCTCGTGTCGTAGGCGTACTCCACGCAGCGGCCGGCGCCACCGGGCCTGCAGCAGGTTCAAACACATCCCTTGTCATCCCTGGGTATGATGAAGGAGTCTCGATAGCGAGGTTCGCCTCAATTCGAATGATGGTTTGCTCGCCCAAATTTGGCCGATGAGGGCTGCACCCACAATTTCAGTCCAGTTTATGACACTTTAATTGAGGAGCTGTCTCTTTCGCACTCACTGACCGCTCATCAGGAAAGACAAGAAACAGAGATATGTAACAGCAACAGCGTCACGATTCGCACAGTGGACCAGAGGACCGGCGGAGGCGGCCAAAACTCTAAACGCGTTTTGAGCTCCAAAGCCGCCAAACAGGACTCGAACCGAACGTGTGATCCCACCAATGAATGGCTCTACGGACGAGGAATCCATTGGTGGGGTCACACGATCAGTTCGAGTCCCATTTAGAGAATCTGGATCTCAAAACGCTTCTAGAGTTTTGACCGCCTCCACCGGTGGCTTACTTGTCGGTGCGCCTGCAGCCCGCCACGGGGTAGTCGTACGTGAAGCACACGGGGTCCAGGAAGTCGAAGTACAGGCGGCCGACCTCGCGCGCGATCACGGACCCGTCGGCGCGGAGACACTGCAGGAACTTGTGGTCGCAGGCGCAGAGCGCGGACGCGAACTGGTGGTCGTTGTACAGGCCGTGCTTGGTCTGGTGGGTCGAGATGGAGTCCGGGCAGTGGTCGTGGTCGCGGCAGCAGCGGTCCGGGCCCGCGAACACGCCCAGGTCGTCGAAGGTCGTGGCCTTGGAGCCCTGCCCGCACCACAGCGTGCCTGCAGACCGAGAAAGGCGCGCTCAAGAGCGGAGCGCCTGCGGGGTTGCGGGTAGGCCAACCCGCACGACGTGCGTGCGCTTTGTTGCCTACCCTGGAGATGGCAGGCGCTTAGCGCGGCCGCAGGGGCGCCAACAACCTCAGCACAGTGGATTTGCCAGAAGACCGGTGGAGGCGGTCAAAATACCGGATGCGTCGCGAGCTCCAGAGTCGCTGAATGGGGCTCGAACGGAACGTGTGACCCCACCAATGGATTGCTATCCGAACGAGGAATCCATTGGTGGGGTCATAACGTTCGGTTGAGTCCCTGTTCAGCGACTCTGGAGCTCAAACCCCGTCTAGAATTATGGCCGCCTCCACCGGTCTTCTGGCCCACTGTGCTCAGCCTGCCTACTGTACCGAGCAGCAAAGCCTGGGCATGTCCCGGTAGGCAGCCCGAGGAGGGCAACCCATCGCACAGGGACTGCATGCATGTGCCGGGACCGGCGGGGCCGCGACGTACCGGGGAAGATGACGTGGTAGGCCTGCGAGGCGCCGTCGGGCCCCGAGCTGCTCAGGTTCTTGTAGAGCTCGATGGAGGAGTCGAGGACGGCGTTCCAGTCGCTGGAGGCCATGGAGGAGGCGCGCGGCCCCGACGACATCCTGGCGGACAGGTTCATGAGCGACAGGGCCAGGGCCTTGGCGACGAGGAACGTGGAGGACAGCCCCATGCTTCACTTCCAACAAAACGAAAACAAACTCGTGGAAATCACGCCCGTCGTGCCATCTTCGGGGGCAGTTGGTGTTCGAGCGACAGCGAGCGGACAACTGCTGTACTCCCACGGCGGGGCTGGCCGTCTGGCCGGCGCCTCCCTGTCCCGCATGATTCCGAACACTGCTTTCGTCTGTCTCTCTCGCACCCATACGGGACGCTCCACGAGTGCGAGAGAGACAGAGCGACGACAGCCTGCTGTCCCTGCGAACTGCAGCGTCGGGTGAAGCGCGTGAGCGGTGCGGAGCAAGCAGCTTGCTTGCGGTTTGCCAGCCGATCCACAAAGGCAGCGGTTCTCAACCTTGGGGTCGCGACCCCATTTAGGGTCGCAGAAGAATATTTTGGGGTCGCGACTTGGTGCCTGGGGTCGTTATATCCCTCCGCACTATCTTTTAAATTATTTGAGTCTGTGAGGCGGGCGGGAAGGGTGGTCGCGTTGGGTCGCGGCGGAGAGATTTTCGACTTTTGTAGAATTAGAAACACAAACAATTCTTACTGAACTGTTACAATTTATTTTACATTCACTGCACAAATACATGGCATTGTACTTTCCAGTCATTAATACACTGATGTTTTCATTTTGCTAAAGACATTGTAGTGATAAAAAGATTTGAATGTAAAGCCTTCATTACACAGCTGACCACCTTTGCTTCAAAATAAAACTCAGCATCCAATACAATTACATTTATTTACTTATGGCCGGTTCAAATAACTCAGCTTACAATCAACTTTTCCAAAGGGGATGAGCACAGCTTAAATATGAGCAGGGCTTCCGCACTCTAATGCAACATTTATCCAATGTTTCCCACACTGTAATTTGGGCTCCGTGATTGATATGTCCTGTTAAAGAATGCACTGCGGCCCCTCACAACACACCACATAATAGCGTCAATACACTGCAAAAGCTTCCAGGCTTACAAAATCAAGTAGCAAGAATCTTGCTACAACGTGTGTCCATCCATAAGTCCAAATTAAAAAACAAAAACAAAGAAACTCCAAGCCAACAATTTTTTTGGAACAATAATGACTTTTCTCAGACTAGCAGCACATCGCAAACCAAGTAGATACAGAATATATTACAAATGCACTTCATAGCTGAAAGCTAAAATGTTACTTAAAAGCATTTTACACTTTAGTCAGCCAGGGAGCATATAATGGATAATATTAAAGGGGCCTGGCATACAGGGTATCTGCATAAAGAGAATCATGTGCAAACTCAAAATATAACACAATTCTCAAATGTTATCAAGATAATAATTAAATGTGCTGGCATTTTTACAGCAAGGTAGGAAATTCTAACAACTTTACACGAACATAAAGAGCTAGTTCTGTCTGTTCCCAAATGTGATCCCAAATTTAATTCACTTGCTTCAATAAAGATCAAAAGAAACAAAAAAAAAAAAAAAAAAACACAATTAAACTGTCTCATTGACAAAGCAATACAAAAAATCCAAATTCAGGAATATTATCAAAACAGCATAGCTTGCTGGCACATGGTGAGCATGCAATCTGCAGTCTTAGCACAATTAAACAACATTTAACAGTTCTCAAATTAGGACCATAGCTAACAGAGCTGCCTTTACATTAAAAATCACATCAAGACTTTTGATTTGTTTAAGTTCACATGTATAAAACATCACAATGTGTAAAGAATACATAAAAGCTTTAGAGATATAAACATTTTTCAAGATACGAAATCTCTACAGCTTCCAAATGCAAACTTGGAATTATTGTAAGGTGGGTAAAAATAAATACCCACAAGAAAATAACATCATTATAAACCATTACCTCACATCATGCAAGCTAGGTTATTCTATGCAATTCATGCAGAAAATTCATTTGTAAATCACATCCCAGAATGGGATGCAGAAAAATTGTAGATCACCACACTAACAATAGCTAATCAGAAACTTTTCTTGAAGCCTCTTGCAGTCAACTACCTTGAACCACTATAGAAAGCAATAAAATAGAAAAAATCCAACTCACAAAATACCATACATAAGAGGAACTTTTGTCTAAGATATAAAATAGATACTCACTGGGAAAGAGGAAGAGAAATTGGGGAGAGAGAAAGATAGATGGAAAGAAGAAAATTTACTGAAAAGTAGCATTCATTAATGTAGTCCATCACTACGTCCTTCATATTTGTACATACTCAAAAATAAAATCTCTTTCAATGAGATTGGAAGCCCATCTACAATATTCAACTATTGGCATGCTGAGTTGTATCATAAACCAGAACCAAGAAAATGACTTTAAAAAAATGTCCTCATTGGGAGGCAAAGTTATCAATAACTTCCACTTTTACAAGTAAGTGTGGCACAACAACAGTAAGTGTACTTCCATCTGCAGTACTATTTTATACATTCATACAGACAAAATCTTGCATTCAATAGTATATACGATAAATTTATTTACAAACACTTACATTTGGCACTTGCCTCATACAGTTACTTCACAGTGGGTGGAAAAACACCCAGGAAGAAAATCCAACAAAATAATCAGACTTGTCATTCCATAACATCGACTTTAAAAATCTCAATCTTATAAAAAATTCACTCAAATAGCATTCATCTCACATAAAACATGTGTAGCTGAAGGTTACGAGTGAAAGAAATGAGATTGCTTCCTGCAGCTGACAAACTTTTATAAAATATCAATCAATTCTTTTTACCATGACTTCCATAATTGCCATGATTGTTTCTAAATGGCCCTTAAATAAATTACATCATTGGAATAAATACACTGACTTGAATTATACATCACCCAGGTATGATTTGAAAGAATCTTGCCAGAATTCAAAATGGAACGACCATCCACAAACAATGCACAGCCCTACCTCACCATCATTGATATGCACAAGGAGTACAGCTTGTCCAGTAATAAAATACATCTGTGCTCGGACATTTTCTTCTATAAAATTACACAAATATACTGATACTTTATTACGCCCTAAATCCAGAGCAAGAATGAATACAAAGTGTAAATAAGGCAACATATTATCCACAGGGGTTATGTTTCACTTATTCTAGTCTTGGAATAAAATTCAAAATGTTTTGTTTTTTTCATGCACAAGACAGATGACTGTGTCCTATCGAAATGGACAAGGATATTTCCCAAAATATTCCAATCTAGTGTCTAATTCTAGAATGCCTTTCCACCATAAATTAAAAGCATGAGGCTATGGATAGTTATTGAACAACATGTCAACATCCACATATTAAAATAAGCTAACTATCTTCATTGCCATCTTGAACCTCATTTTCTACAAATTCAACATGAGTGAATGGAAAGTGGCCTTTTTTGCCATTTAGTTCACCTTCCCACTGTCCATTTATGTTCATTTTTGTCACCTTTATGATATCCCCGACTTCCAACTTCAAGGCTGTGCGGTCATAAGCATTTGGGACTCGAGCTTGCTTTACACGAGCATAGGCAGGAAGTTTTCTCTGCAAAAATGAAAAACAAGAAAGACATGAGCACCAACTATGCTTTAACAGTTACTTCTTAGTCAGCAAGATTGTCACTATTTACTTGAATGTTTGATCTTTTGATGACAGTTTCCTGTTGAACAGGGATTGGAGTGCCTCCACCAGAACCAGGTCTCTGTCCATCTATTTGGTTCTCTTCATACTGTTGGATGAAATAAGAAATAACATGTTATGATGGATAGAAAGATAGCTGAAATTGAAGATCAATTGTTTTGTATAATTTAAATTTGTTTATTTTTACCTTTTGAACATATGGCACTGGAATGGATCCCATCTGACCAACACTATTTCTAGCTGTCCACCATTGGTCTTCATCTTTCTGAATAATGGTCAAAACTTCTCCTTTGCTGAATGGCAGATCATCTGGATCCTGCAACATACAGTTTGAAAATGAAAATGTGTTCACTTGACCGTGAATGAATGAGTTTGTTTCATTATAAATGTGAAAATACTAACACTGCCTTCAAAGTCGTATTTTGCCATCACTTTTTCAATTCGTCGAGGAGCTGGTCTGATGAGAGGTGTTGTGTCCAAGTAGTGCAGCTTATAAAATGATAATAGACTAGGCAAGTCTGGAAAGGACTGGTCTCCAATACGGTATGAAGTGTTATTAGCTTGCTGTGCTTTATTTATAATATAATGGCTAACTTTGCTGTCTTCCCTAAAGAACAAAATCATATTGATTAGAAGTAAAACTTCGCCATCCTTTAAGACTTAAGTATCATTCATAATGCTTACCGAACACACAAAACATAATCTCCAAGTATGGAATTACTATCTCTGACAAGAAAAACACCACCCTCTCGTTCGCCCATTAACAGGTCTGTGGCATCTTGTCTAGACATTTGACCAAAGTACCAACTAAAATGAAATAAAAATCAAATTAAAAGAACATGGAGATGAAAACATGAAGCAATCATAACAGATAAATATTAGCTTCATTCGGAAATGCTGTACCTGTCGCGGTCTGTAGGCTCAAAAGTAGCTGCCATTGTCAATGTTTGCACCAACTCAACAAGGCTGTTATTGCTTTAGTTTCTGATTACGGTCACTGAATGCAGCAGTACAGTACGTCCAAAGACGGAAACAAAAATATGATATTCAAGACACCATTTTATCCTTTCGATAACAAGGGCCCGGAGATAATTTCTCCAGCATTTGCAAGTCAAACATTCACAGTGACAACATAACCAAACCACCTGCAAAACAAGACAGAACTGCAGTTCATTAACAAGTTTAGAAAGTAACCTTGATGTACACAGTAGGACAGAAAGAAAAATAATGAATTATAAACTTAAATAAAGTCTATTTCTCAGTACAAGCAGAAAATGTGAAGTGTTTACACGTACCCTAATGGGAGCCTTGAGTGTCACTGCCGATTTTCTTGGCCGGTGAGTGTCTCCTGCAACACCAAACGCAGAACATTGAAGTTTTCCTTCACTTGGCTATAGCTCATTTACAAAATCACATGGCTAATAATTTACCAAAGCGCTAACAATAATTACTTTCCAATAAAAATACACATACTTTCAGAATTGTAATCCGTACAGCTTCCTGTTCGGCAGCTTGCTTACGGATCGTAGGCCATTCGTGCCGGATGAGAAATTGTGTGGCACTAGATCACTGTGGAAAGAACGAAAATTGGGCGATTTTAATGGTCTTTAGACGTCTATTGGCAAATACAAGAGACAGTTAGTAATGACAATCAGGTAAAATTATCGTTTGGCACGGCAAACAGCGACAATATTCTCCAAAGAAGGTTATTTACTTAATTGCATGTAGTCTCGCATCGGGCCGCACCTGTCATGGACACAGTTTGAATATGAAAGTGAATATATACCTGAAAGCTGTCTGCAAGTCTCTCAATACGGGAAATTTACGTACCAGACTTCTTTTCGAGCAGGTCGCTTCCGGAAGTAATGAGAAATTATTCGGGTCCAAAGGAGTTCTGGTTGTTGATTCTTGAGGTAAAATCATGTCCACCTGCGTCTTGGAATGATGGTGAAATCGAGGTAAGTCTCGAGTATTTATTTGTTGGTTGGACTGTGGCATGCCAATCTGCCGAGCACCAAGTACACAGCAGACTGATTCCGAGAGTCTTTTTCGTCGCTCTGTCTCTCTCGCACTCATCGGGCGCTGCCTATAGATGCAAGAGAGAGACAGAGCGCAGAAAACGACTCTCGGAATCAGTCTACAGACTAGACACCGGTCATTCCGCACATCGTCAGCAGACGCAACAATTTCGGGTCCCCCCCTTACTCCTTCCCCGCCCCGGCCAACGGTCCAGCCCAGGCAAGGCTGGAGAACCTCGGCGGCCGACGCGGCCGACGCTCTGTGGGCCGTGCGCCAACTCGGTTGGGATCGCGAGAAAGTCCACACAATGCCGCGCGGCAAGCGCCAAGCCGCGGCAAGCGCCAAGCGCCACCACACCGCAAGCTGCGGGCCGCGGCAAGCCCAGCCTGGCAAGCCGGACGGACTGGAATTCACTATTGTGCGATCCCAGTATGGTCTGGCCCAGTTGAGAAATGGGAATGGCGGGGGGGGGGGGGGGGGATTGGGAGGGAGGGGGTGACAAGTTTTACGCCGAAATGGCGTCCAATTGGAACTTCCCTCTGTGTGTGTGTGCGCGCGTGTGTGTGTGGTGTGTGTGCGTGTGTGTGTGTGCGAGCGCGCGCGCGCGTGTGTGTGTGTGTCACCTACCGCCCCAACCCTATAGGGGGTATGGTTGCTGCCCTCCATGAGTGCCATGAGGAAGTGGACGCCGTGTCCGAGGCGCTGCAGGCATGGCAGTGCCGCGCAGCCGAGCGGTTCAGAAGAGCCGTTTGGTCGCTCTGTCTCTGTCGCACCCATGGGGCTCTCCGTGAGGGCGCGAGAGAGACGGAGGCGGGGCACGGCCGCACGGCTCTCCGCGGCCCGGCGATGATGCGATGCCAGCGAGTCGAATGGAAGGTTCCCCTTCATGGCACTTGCGCGCCGCGGGGCAGTGCGGGGCAGTGCGGGGCAGTGCGGGGCAGTGCGGGGCAGTGCGAGGCAGTGCGGGGCGGGCCGGGGCAGTGCCGCTCCATGTAGGCTGTTCATGGCGTCGCCGCCGTCCGGAGGGAGGCTTTGGCATTTCGAGTGTCTCATCTCTGCCAGAGTCCTCGCGCGATGGCGCGCTCGCGGCGGACCTCATGAAGGCTCGCTTCGCGTTGCTTCGCGTCGCTCCGAGCCTCGAGGCGTGTCTGTCAAGCGCGCATGCGAGATCGCCATTGCGGGTCGGTATGGTGCAGCAGGCTGAGAGTCGTCGCCCTGTCTCTGTCGCACCCCAACGGGACGCCCCGTGAGTGCGAGAGAGACGGCGGAATGAGTCCGCCGCGCACCGAGGGCATGGCGTGCAGGATGCGCGGCGCACAGCGCGGCACAGCGAAAACACGGCATCCCTGCCGGTGTTTTCGGCTGGCCTGACGGAGTTTGACGCGTCCAGAGGGCGTCCCACTGGGCGGCGCTGGGCGGCGCTGGGCGACCTTCGTGTCCTGTCCACGCGTCCTTGAGCTCTGGAGGGAAGTCGGGTCCTTGCAGCCCGGCCACGGCTCGGCCGAGGGAGGGGGCTCAACGCCGCGCTCTCCGCCTGCCGTGCACTGCCGTGCCTCCACAGCGACAGCAGCTTTCACTTCAGTGACTTGACCCTAGCCCAGGGGCCTAACCTAGCGCGGCTAGCGCGGCCCGCCGCCGTCGGAGCGAGCCCCGCGCCTTGGCCCCGCGCTGCAGGCCGGGCAGCGCCTGGCAGGCCCCGCTGGAGTCGTCCTGGACTCCAGGTCGTTCCATCGGAATCCCCATTTCGCCGAGGCGGCGCGCGGCGCACTGCTTGTGGTCCTGCGGGACTGCAGCCACACCGCTTTGCAGCACACTGATTCCGAGAGTCGTTTTCGTCGCTCCGTCTCTCCCGCACCTCCACGAGACGCCGCACGAGTGCGAGAGAGACAGAGCGACGAAAACGGCTCTCAGTCTGCAGGCTTGGCGGGCTGGTGGTTGGCTGGCGCACCGCGGAACTGGTCTGAGGCCGGGGGGGGGGGGGATGTGGCGCTACGGCAGCTTGGCAGCGACTCGCGACTGATGGCGGCAGGCGGAGAGTGCTGGAGAGAAACAGAGAGAGAGGGACGGCGAGAGAGGGGGAGAGAGAGAGAGAGAGAGAGAGAGAGAGAGAGAGAGAGAGAGAGAGAGAGAGAGAGAGAGAGAGAGAGAGAGAGAGAGAGAGAGAGAGAGAGCGCTGACGTTGGCTGGAATGCTGGTTGCACCGCACCGCCGCGCCGTGCCTGGCCGCGGCGCAGCAGTACGGCACGGTGCCGCGCGGTGCACCGTTGTAGCCGTCCTAGAGTGTTAGGTGCCTGAGCTCTAGAGGATCGACGGCTGGAGATGCGCCCTGGTTGCACGCGGCACCGCCGGCCGGCCGGCGACGCGCGCAGACAGGCACGGTGCCGCGCGTGCAGTTGCTAGCCGTCCTACGCCAGTGTCTAGCGTGCCTAGCCTCTAGGAGGCCCGACTCGAGCGGCGCGACCGCCCCATGGCGCCCATGGCTTGCCGGGGCCCGCCGTGGAGCGGCGCGACTCCACGCCGTGCTACGCCTATGGCTACGCCCATGGCTACGCCCATGGCTACGCCCATGGCTACGCCCATGGCTACGCCGCTGCGCCGGCAGACTGATTCCGAGAGTCGTTTTCGTCGCTCTGTCGCACGCGTGCGCGACGCCCCATGAGTGCGACAGAGACAGCGATCTGCAGCGATGGAAGGGACTTCCGAGTCACTCCACTGGCACGCAGTGGCACGCAGTGGCACGCAGTGGCACGCAGTGTGCCGCTACGCGTATGCAGCATGCAGCAAAAGCGGGACCCCCCGGCGAGGAGGGGAGGGGCACTCCCGCCGCACTGCACCGCCGTGCGGGTGGCCTACAGTGCCCCGTCTCTCTCGCACACGCGGGGCGTCCGGCAACTTACTGCGAGGCTAAAGTGCTGAAGCAAGCCCGCCGCTGAAAAAGGCGGCAGCGGTTACGCTGCAAAAGTGGCTGCGGTTTGGCTGAAAATTGGACCGCGCAGTGTGCGAAATGCGGTTGGTGTGCAGCGGGCCGGGCGCCGCTCTGTCTCTCTCGCACTCATGGAGTCCCTGGCGGGGTGCGAGGGAGACAGCGGCGGTGTTCGGAATCAGCCCGCCGGGGCCGCGGCGGCGAGGCAGTGCCGAGGCAGTGCCACGCCACTGCGGGAAGTGAAGGGATTGTGTGTCGAGTCAGCTGCAGGTGCAAGGCTGCCTGCGGTAGGGCTGGCTGGCTGCGCCATAGGCCGTTTTCGCCGCTCTGTCTCTCTCGCACCTGCACGGGACGCCCCACGAGTGCGATAGAGACAGAGTGACTCTCGGAACCAGCCCGCTGGCTGGCGGAGCAGGGAAGCAGGGAAGCAGCTCGCTGCTTTCCAGGAATCGGCCGCGCAACGTCGCTGTATCGCATCGCCCCCATTGGCAGCCCTGGAGGCCCTGGAGGCCCTGGAGGCCCTGGAGGCCCTGGAGGCCCTGGAGGCCCTGGAGGCCCTGGAGGCCCTGGAGGCCCCGGAGGCCCAGGAGGCCCAGGAGGCCCAGGAGGCCCAGGAGGCCCTGGAGGCCGTGGAGACCCTGGAGGCCCTGGAGGCCCTGGAGGCCCTGGAGACCCTGGAGGACCTGGAAGGGAAGGCCCTGGAGGCCTTTGAGTCCCTTCGCAGTGACGGCGCGGGCACGGGGCCCCGCGTTGGGCTTGGCGCGAGAGGCCTGCAAAAACCACCAGCATCGAGTCGAGTCGAGTCGAACTATCGACTATCTAGGCCATCAGGGCCAGCCAGCCGGCGGGGCCGCGCGCCGCGCAGACATGAGGGTGGCGCGCACCGCCTGCACCGCCAGCACCGCGCATACGGGCGACACGCGGGAACGGAACGCCGCGACAGAGTTTGCTACTACCAGATTCGCATTTCCTCACAGGCGTTCCGGGGAGTTTGCTGCTGTCCGTTGGAGGGCTCCCCTCCGCGTCGCTTCGCATTGCTTCGCATTGCTCGGCAACCCGTTCGTCCAGTGCCGCCTGGATTTTCCTCTGACGTCACGCGCAGTCGGCGTGGCTGGCGTGGCTGGCCCGCTTCGAGGCTCGGCCGGGCTGGGCCGTGACGGCGTGACGGCTGCAGTGCCGCCACGGGGCTGCCGTCGGCTGCCGTCGGCTGCAGGCTGGAGGTTCTGGGTTCTGCCAGCGTCGGCGCCTCGCTGCCGCCCTGCTGCCGCCACTCGGGTGGGTTTAGTTAGGCCCCTAAGGCTGCCTAAGGCACGCCGCCGCCGCCGCGGAGAGACGAGCGGAGCGGCCGAGGCGAGTCAAGTTGAGCCGAGCCGAGGCAGGCCGAGCGAGCCGAGCCGCTGCTAGCCAGCCGTTCATTGACTTCCCATGCGCGAAGTGAGTGACCTTCCCTTCCCTTCCGTTTCGTTCGTAGTTCTCCGGCTCCGCTCCGCCTGCGCTGCGCTGCGCTCGGCAAAGGCTCGGCTCGGCTGCTCCGTTCGGCTCGCTCCGCTCCGCGCTCGGCTCGGCTCGGCTCTTGCTACGCGCTACGCCGTAGACCCACACCGCGTTCGGCTGGTTCGGCTCGGCTCTGGCGCCTTCG